AGTAGCAAGAGAGAAGTCAGACGTTTTGACAAGAGAGAAGTCAGACATCCTGTTGTCCTTTTCCATGTCTTAAAAAAAGGGGTGGGTGACAGAAACTGCTTATGATGCTTTTTTTTTACCAATCCTTCCCTAGTTTTGCTTCGAGGTCTCAGAAATCCTACCTCTGTTGTGTTGCAGCTTGGTTACAGTGTGGTAATAGCCTTGTTGCAGTCTGACTTCTCTCTTGCAACTGTCTTGCAGTTTCCAGACAGACGGGGTCTGTTTGGAAACTATCAACATGAGAATAAAGGTAGAGACAGACCGGCACGGACTCCCATGTGGCGTTTGTGGTGGCGTCGCATTATCACCTTCAAATTATATTTTTGCGCTTACAAGCGTATCTCGATAAGTTCATTGCAAACCCTACAGCATCGCTAAATACCAAATTAATGAGCTTACCATAACCAAATGTTAGCTTGAAAATTCATAGTAATTATATAGAAAGGTAGAAATATAGACTGCAGCACCGTCTTACTTTATTATGATAAATGATCCAAATATGTTGTCTATGGTTGTTTATCAAATGTTTTTGCTTACAACATTGTTAGTGGTGGATGGTGGCTGGAGTGAGTGGAACTCCTGGAGTAACTGTACCAAGGCAGTTGGTGGTATACAAACAAGAAAGAGAGAATGCACCAATCCGGAACCAGCATATGGTGGGAAACACTGCGATGGGACCAGTGCACTCCTGAGAGGATGTAGCAACATGTCCAGTTGCCGTGAAGGTAACATAAAATTTCAGCTTTTTTAATTTCAGAGGCTAAAAACATCTTTGTTGAAACAAAAATAAACAAACACAGTAATTAAAGTTAGAACAAAACCAAATGAACGGAACTTCTGAGTTTGAACTTTAATCACATAATTATCCAGGCCAAGTATGTGAAATGCACAAATTATTAAAAGTCATTATAAGTCAGAAATCCTTCATAATTATACAAACTCTGTACATGTACAGAATACGCCATGCTCTTCTTGAAAGAGACAAAACAAATCTCCACTATCATTAGTGCTGCAATAGGTACTAAATTCTAGGCACAAGTTTTCGCTGATAATTGTGGTCGCTCTCTAAGAAGTCTGCACTAT